GCTTGTGTGAGGTCAATGAAATTCCACTGCTTGTGTGAGGTCAATGAAATTCCAGGTAAAGACTGAATTATAAGAGCTAACACTCATACTGCTCACACTGTGTGCCCGGACTGTTACAAACACTGCCTGTGGGGGCTGGGGGTTTAGCTCAGCGGCACAGAGCCTGCCTGGCAAGTGCAAGGTCGTGAATTCGACTCCTGGTACTGGAAAAAAAACAAACAAACAAAAAAATAAAAGCAAACAAACACTGCCTTGTAAACTCATCCAACCCACACAACAATCCACTGAGGCAGGTTCTACTATGGTCCTTGTTTTACAGATGGAGAAACTGAGGCACAGAAAACTTCCCAAGACCACACAACTGGTATGTGGTTCAAATCAAGATAAGATTTGAACCCAGGCAGTCAGGCTCCCAAATCTGAATACTCAACCATGTGACACACACATGACCCCCACAAGCAGACATCATCCACTGTTCCCCAATAGCCATTCCTCCTTTTTTCTCTGCCAACAGACACCAGTGTTCAGCTGTATATGTGGCCACCTGCAAGAAACACTGCCTTCTCAGCCTCCTTTTCAGTTAAGTATGATCCAATACACAGCCGGGGCGTGAACAGAACTCATCCTTCCCAGGCAAGCATCCTGAAAGGTGAAGCATAGTCTTCCTTCGCCTGCCTCTTTTTTGATTTTGTCACTTGGAATGCAGACGGCATGGCTCATGGTGTGTCCTCACGACATGGTGGCTGCTGTCCCCAAGATGAATGCTCAAAGAGAACAGCACAGAAGCGTTCTGTCTTCATCAGTCCTACACTGTCACTTCTGACATACTCTTTGGTCACAGAAGTCCTACCTGACATTCTCTGTCATTGGGAAATGAGTTGACTCTAGTACCACGTAAGGCAGGGAAGTGGTCTTACACTCCGTGTAAAGGGGGCGCTACACAAAGCAGGCGATGCCAGCAGCCAAGGCTCACTAGGAGCTGTCTTGGCACCTGGGACAACCCCACAGAATGCCAGACCAGCCCTCCCTCCAAAGGTCTGGAATGCGAGAGGAAAATAGGTTTTGATCTTGTCTAACTGACTGATGGTTGTGATTAAAACACCCATGAGTTCTTGACACAGAGTGGACCCCAACAAATGTCCTCATTCATCCTTTCCTCTAAGCAGATTGAGGTGTAGGACTTTGTCTTCTACTTCTCTGTCCACATACAAACCTACCCATGTGTACTCCCACCATCTAGTTGAGGTTTGATACAATGTATGTGTGGAGGCAGTGTATCAGCCTCTTCATTCATTCATCTATTCGCTCATCCATTATTATCCACAACATGCCAGGCTCTAGCCTCAGATGCTAGAGGACTCACCGCCCAGTTAGGGAAACAAGCATCATAACACAGAAAACAGCCCTCTCTCTGTCATTGGGAAATGAGTTGACTCTAGTACCACGTAAGGCAGGGAAGTGGTCTCCAGCCCAGCTGGTGGGTGTGTGGGCTGGGCAGACATCACGGTGCAGCTGACAGTACTCAAGCTAAGCACATGTACTCTTTCTCCCCCAATGATCCTGCCCCTGGTATCCATCCGAGTGACACACACAGCAGTCCCTGAGACTCATGTACCACAAGTTCACTGTAGTTTTGCTTTGGGAGGGAGAAGCTAAAGGTGGCCTGTATCTATCCCCAAAGGAATGGGAAAAGGAGGTCTGGTGAATGTGTGTATGGCACACATGCTGAGTGGCAACTGGAAGCAATGGATTTGAGTTAGACTCCACACACAGAGCAGTGTCAAGCAAGTAAAGTAACCTAACAAATAGGTCTATAGAAACTACCTCTTGTGTACATTAAGGACCCACCTGCACAAATCAGTAGCATATTATGCTCCATAAGGATACATATGTATCCAGAGACAGGCATCAAAAGCATTAGAGAAAGTGCCCTGTGGAGAGGGTGGAGGAGAAGGATCAGGAAGAGGCAGCTGTCTCAGCCTGTTGGGAGGCACACTATGAGACTGTGCATTGCAGTAAGGGTCGGGGAGGAGCGAGAAGCCACCCTGCACCTTGGCAGAGCACCAGGGCTGTGTGGCCCTCCGCAAGGAGAACAGGCACAAAGACTGGTGCCACAGAGGAAGGGCAAGTGCTTTAGCAATTCAGAAGCCCAGGGCCCATGGCCAGGGTCATGGTGGCAGGACCAGCACTGCCCCCTCAGCCTCCGCTTACCTGGCCACTGCCACTCAGCCCACACACACCTCTGTGAGGCAGATGGTGGGAGGGAGCAAGCAAGGGCTGTGGAGTCAGTGGCCACTATGTGACCTCTGGCAAGTCATTTCTCCTGACTGAATCTGTTTCTCCATATATAAAATGGGAAGAATGACAATATCTATATGGGAAGCTTGTGATGGGCAGGAAGGGAACTTGTATTCTATCAGAGAGATACAGAGTGGACCAAAAATATACCATGTCTCCACTACTGTATTTCCAGGGCGCAGAACTGTACCTAGCATTCAGCAGGTGCTCAGTGAATGCTTGCAGAATGAATGAATAGTAGTGGTAAATGCTGTAGAAGGAGATACAGCGGGGTAGGGTGAGAGGGAACACTGGGGTGCTGGCGAGCAGGAGGGAGTGAGCTTTTGAGCTGATGGTCAGGGGGCTCCTGAGGTGGACATTTGAAGGAGGATTTAAAGGAAGTAAAAGGATTCACTTTGGGGAGACCTGAGGACAGTGATGCTAGGGACAGAGAAGAGTTCAGTGTGGCTCCAGAGTGAGGGACAGAGCGAGAGGAGCTGAGGGCCCTTGGCCTGGTGGGCTGAGAACACAGCAGAAGCCCTCCCCCTCACAATGACAAGTCCTGGAACAGCACACAGGACAGAGCCTGTTCATTCCCCAGGACAGTAGCACAGACCTCCCTCCCAAGGACCAGACTCTTTCTGGGTGCCAGGGCCCAGCTTTCTTGGCATCACCTCATGGCACCATCACCAGCTTAGCCTGGTCTTCACAGCAGGAAAATGACACTTTAAGAGACAGCTAACCTCCAAACAAGATTGGTCTCTCTGATGCCAGACCCTGGCTTGTTCCTGCCACATTGTTCTCAAATTCTTTGTTTACAGCTTGCCTTCTCCGGGCTGCAGCAGCCCGCCTCCTTCTCATTCATGGTTTTATTTTACTCCCAGATCCCTTGTATTAAAACCTGCCCAAGAGAATGAATGAACGTGCTGGACTTCCCGGCCAGTTCGCGCTCTGTTGAGCATCTCGAGTCCTAAGCTGGGACTGGAAGGGGCCCGGCAGAGGAATTTCAAGCTGCCTGAGGGTCAGGAGCAGAGAGAAGGGGGAGAAGGGGGAGAAAGTGAAAGTGAAGGGAGCTGGGAGCCCCATGAGGAGGCACAGACAGGGAAGGAAATCTCCCAGCAATAATTCATCTGCTCAGGAAGCAGCAGCAATAGCAGGGCCTGGGGCTGCCTGTGGGACAGGCCCTGTGGGGAGGGGCCGAGCTGGCTCCCTCTCCTCCCCCAAGCCCAGCCTGGCCAGGGTCACGGTCAAATGGTGTGGGGGCGGGGGAGCCAGGTGTGGGAACAGACTCTCGCACAGATCTTGGGTTCTGAAGAGTTAGGGGCTCCTCTCCCAGCAGCCAAGGGAAATTGCAAGTCCCCCTCTCCCCTTCTCTCTGGCTGGGGTCAGGGAACCTGAAGACACTCAGCACGGCAAAGCTGGGAGGCACCTCCAAGAACACAGGGACCCAAGGGAACCAAATGCACCAGGAAGCCTCCTTCCATATCTGGCACCATCTGAGCTGAAGAGAAAGTTATTTCAAAGTAAGCGGATGCTGATAGGGCAGTACTGTGATGGAGCTAGAAAGCAGATCTGAGTGATGAGGGACCCGGTGGCCAACAACAGCTCAGTTATTCTCCACCAGGCCTCTGTGACAGAGGACACATAGGTCAAGGTGTCTGGAAGGAAGGCAGACGTGAGGGAAGACAGCCTATCTGTAATGGTGCTACGGTGGTGGAATCCTAGAAGTTGTGATGCCAGGCAGGTTGCGCTGGCACCCTCACTCAACCACCTGTAAAGCTGAAAGCCAGCTCTCCTCTTCCCTTATTTATTTATTTATTTATTTATTTATTTAGACAGGGTCTTGCTGCGCAGTTCAGCTGGCTCCAACTCACAGCGATCCTCTTGCCTCAACCTCCTGCACCACGCCCAGCTCAACTTTATCTGTAAATTAAGAACACTGTCCCACGGCCCCAGCAGAGAGCACTAAAGTCCCCAGAACAATGCCTTCCAGCTCCGTGAGGGCCATGAGGCAGAGGGTTTTAAATCTGTACACATCTGTGCCCTCATACCTAAAGCCAGGCCTGACACTTAGTAGGGACCCAACAACTACTTGTTGGATAAACGAATGGAACCACTAGTGTTTGTGTTTTGGTTTCGTTTTGCTTTTAAAGATTGCTGCTAGGAAGATGACACTGTTGAATCCTTTTCTGCAAAAATTATAGCATTTCTCTAAGTTTTCTCCATAGACACCACCGTCTTGTACAAGACGTAGGTTCCTGGGCCACACTCCAGAACGGCTGACTTAAATGTGGCAATCCGAAAGCCACACCGTCAAAAGCCCCTTTGGTTATTATCCACACAAAAGTTGAGGAACCACAAGATTAGAATTTGAGGGCTGGATGACTCCTAACAATCCACTTCCCAAATGAGGACACAGGCCAACCTAGAAAAAGGGACCTGCCTGCGATTGAGTCCGGAGCTGAGCTCCACTCCACCCACCCAGAGCTCCAGCATTTACCCCGCTCCACCGCAGCAAGGCGAGCCCTCGGGGTGGGACACCCGCTCTCTGGCTGCTTCCAACCTAGAGGAGAGCGGCGCGTTGCCATTGGCCGGGGTGCGGGCGGCACAGTCCCATTGGCCCGTCGGAGCCCCCGCCCCTCACCAGGGCCGCGTTGTGATTGGCCCCTCCCTTGGCTATAAGGCGGTGGCCGGCGGGCCGTGGGAGCGCGCGGGAGCGCACGGCGGGGCGCGGCAGGCGCGGGGACAAGGCGCAGGGAGGACGCGGCTGGGCGCCCATGGCGTTCGCGCTGCTGCGCCCCGTCGGCGCGCACGTGCTGTACCCGGACGTAAGGCTGCTGAGCGAGGACGAGGAGAACCGCAGCGAAAGCGACGCGTCGGACCAGTCGT